GTGAATGTGTGTGTGTTTGGGTCGATATGTGAAGTGCTTTGTAAAGAGGAAGCTTGCGATTGCGAGAGAACGAAGGCATTGCTAAGGAGAGTGGTAGATCTGTAGTGGCTATTTAGTTAGGACTATCTTAGTTAACGGATGTATCCTATGATTGTCTTGGTAACAGAAATTAATGATAATCTGACAATATTTGATGATTTTTTTACGCAATTGCTGCTTATCTTAGGTCATCATTATAAGGAACCGTTATTGTAAGTGCTCTTATCTTAGCCATAATCGAAGTTCAATTCGATGAAAAAAAGGTAGGGTTTTAAAACCTAATTATCATAGTGATTACTCAGAAATTCAGATGTCAAGTCCACCTCAAAAACCTAAGCTTTGGTATTCAAAGTGAATTTCTAAAGGGGGAGAAAACTTTGCTTGTCTTCTATCAAAATACAGTCTTACGAAGACTACCTTTCTTTTTCATTCAGCCAAACTAACTATCCCGAACCAAAATTGTTTTTTGACTTCGTATTTTGGTTGGTCGCTGGAGAGGGCAGAGAATTTAGTTTTGGCTGCCAAATCATATCTAATCAAGTCCAACACGCGACTCCCCATTGTTAAATTTGGTTGTTGGATTTTACTGCGACCATGTTTGCCCATTAGCCTCAGAAATATAAAACATTACCGTTTTCAGATTTCGAATCTTTAGAAAGTCCAAATTTTAGTGCTTATTGTAAATGGATTGTGGAGAATTTTCGCGTAAAATCTGGATTCTCTATAACATTTACACTGAAGATTATATGTCTTAAGAGGCAGCAACAAATTAGCCCGTGAGCAACTCAGATTTATTCTTCACCATAATTATCAAAAGGTCTACTGTTTTGTCCATTATTGCATTCCAACAAAGAACTGAAAACAAAATATTTGCTCAGACTGGGAGATATCCAAAATTATATATAACAAATTTATAATAGTCTAGATAAAATCTAGTCCTAAGTATTACTTAGGTTGGAAATAATTCGAGCATGTGGCGTCATTTTGGCGTATGTGTGAATGTGTGTGTGTTTGGGTCGATATGTGAAGTGCTTTGTAAAGAGGAAGCTTGCGATTGCGAGAGAACGAAGGCATTACTAAGGAGAGTGGTAGATCTGTAGTGACTATTTAGTTAGGACTATCTTACAATTCTCTAGTTAACAGCCCGTAACTACCCCAGGGGCACGCTTTATGTTCCATGTCTCATCTTGAACAGACACTTACTCAAGAAAACACGAATTGAACAGTTTTATACCGATGGCAAAACCGCAAGTAGTTTAGGTGTTGGAAGTTTTGTTGAGGAGAATTCGCCTAAACCTGTCAAACTGCAAACCAACTGATTACACATACTGGGATTAGCACACGGCTAGCTTTGCTAGTGGCTACCTGATAGTGTAACTACTTTTTTTCTTTCATCAAAATTTCAACAGTCAACGGGGAATGGTCCAACTGGTCCTCGTGGTCTGCCTGTGTTGGTCGTTGCGGGATGGGCGTTCAGTCACGAAGCCGCACTTGTACGGAACCAGTGCCGTCCTTTGGCGGTCATTTGTGTCGTGGCAGTGCTAAAGAACGCCGCACCTGCTCCATACCTTTCGTAGATGACGGGGAGCCCTGTCCTCGTGTGCTTGGTGGTGAAACGGGCAGTGGAGGTGCTAGTACAAGCTGGTCCACGTGGTCCAAATGGTCTGAATGCCTGGTTGACTGTTCAGTCGACGATGACGTCGGCAAGAGCGGACAACGTCGTCGAACGCGAAATTGCATGGTTGAGCGCAATGGAAAGCGCATCGCTGCACAGTCCCTACGTGAGTGTGAAGGACATGCGGAAGAAGTGGAGAAATGCTATCCACCTACTGGTACCACTTCCCAATGTGTGGGTAAGAACAACTTACCTTCGCGTTCTCTCGAAATTGCGACATGGCAGTTCACACATACAGGTGACAGGACCTTTGACCGAATGTATTCGAATGTGCAGTGTAGTCTAAGGCCATTGAATGAGTTTGAAAGTGGATGCCATTAATGTGCCGAAAAGTGGTAGTTACGTTCACTGGGCCACAAGAAGCACCATTGTCGCCTGATTAAGAGAGAGGCCATTTGTTGGTGTGGAATAGTCAGTTTGATGCAAACGTTACCGTATCTTGCAACCGCGAGATTCAGTGGGCGTAATTAAGTGCTGACTGATCCAGAAGCATTTCAGCTTTTCGTTTAGAAATTAACTCACTTGTAATACCACGCCTCCAAGTAGACATTGAAGTAACTTCGTCTCATTTTGTAAAATACACGACGAAGGAAATGACATTGGGCCGATTGAAAAGTAAGTATCAGGAAATAATGCCTGACAGCAGCAGAGTCCGCCCTGCTACGCTGATGTGTGCAGAAATGTCGATTTGTTAATGTTTTGTAGACCAAAACCGCCTCATGTTTGGCAACCTGATTGGTGAGGTTCGCGGACGCTTGGGCGGCAAGCTGCTGAGTGGAATCAAGGTGGTCGGAAATTGGTCCGCTGTCTCTACGAAAGCGACTAGTTTCCAAATTGAATTCCACAATGTGCCTCCCGAACACTCACTATGTCTTCAGGTCCTTTCTGAAATAGTCTCGCCTGTTTTCTGGTATGCGGCGAAGGAAGTGAGTTGAATACAGTCTATGAGCATACATTGATTACCGTTCAAAGCAAACTAAGATGATGCAGGTGTCAGTCGCATGAGACTGGCTGTCAAACGTGGTAAACGAAGACGGGTGCTTTTGAATACAGAAAGAGGCCAATGCGATAGATTTTTGGACTTGAGTGTCGTTAAAGCCGCAGGAAAGCCGGCGGAATGCTACCTGTACAGACTGGAACGACTGAACATCAGGAGTTTTGCTGTAGTGTCCAGGTGCACAAATCGGTGTACCTTGACGTCATGGAGTTAACTCTTTGTGAATGTAGCTAAATAAGTCACTTGAAGACGACCGAAAATACATTAGTGGTTGGGTACCTCAGTGAATCGATCTCAACTGACTTCATAAACAACGAGTTTACGTTGGTCTCTAGTTTAAGTTTTGCATTTACCCACGACGGGTGTCAGGGACTGACATAGGTGAAACATGCGGTTGAATGGGGTCGCCGTCCGACGTGGAACCCTGCCAGTTTGACTTGTAAATTGCAGTGGCGTTGTCAAAACTTTGATGTTCGGATTGGATGGCTTATTCTCCTTTGAATTTAGCCTGAACGAGCTGAGCCACGATCCAAATTTATTTCCTTGGGACGCTCTGGCAGTTCCCATGGTCGCTCGTGCGGAATTTTAATTTGATTACACCGAGCCGACTCAACCATCTACATGCCTTTGATTAACCGCAATTGCAGAGTTTAACGGCTAGCGAAGTGTCGAACTTTGCAGTGTCCTTTCAACAGAATCGATTTAAATCGAGTCAATCATTTGTACATTTAGGCCGAATAAAACGGCAGATAAATATAAGTGACAGAGTTCTTCAAACCGTGGTTTGACCTAACACGCGAGTAATGATGAATTAATTCCTGAGCCAGGTGTCTTTTTCATCGGTAGATTTTAAGGTTAAACCTCCCCTGTGAATCGCTTATTCCCACTTACTCTCCATTTGAAGACGAATGTTTTTCTCAGTTTATCTGGTGAATCACTTGTCAGCTACAAGTTCTACCGCCACACTTCGTGCGGCAAAACGAATTGGTGTAGAAATAGTGTGCAGCGCATCGATGCTATCTGCTCACTCCGACTTCACCTCAAGGCTGCTAAAAGTGAGACGTGATGCTTGGAAGTAACACCAGGAGCATTTATCTGACGTATACGTTAACTCGAGTAAATGCTGTGAGAAACCGGTTGAATGAAGCACCCAGAACTTGCCAAGTAGTTCCTTGCCATGCCTGGAGGGCGGTCATGATGTCTGCACTGTTCGGTCAATCAGAAACATTGGCGACTCTATGCCCCTTGTATTGTTTTCATTTTCTCATTGGCCTTTTGAAAACATGGAAGCAGAAATTGCAAATGCCATTTGACAGGGAGTTAAAGCGGTCTCCTAGCGTTAATTGCCAAAATGGGAGGTTGGTGTGAAGATTCTGATAAGTATGGAAATTGTTTCAAGTTACTTTGGTCTTGTGTGAGAGCTTTAACTTATGGGAATTTGGATTATATTGTATCTGGTGCTAGCAGAATTATTGACACTCAAAACCGTGTAACTGTACGCCTAATTGGCATCACTGTAGCAGAGCTCCCCATCGCATAACATCCTGGAATCCCTTTTGAACAAGTATCTATGTGGCGACGCTGATTTATGGCCTGACGCATTCATTTTGCTCTGTTTTTATAAAATGACACTGATAAGGTTTAAGTGATGTCATAGTGCATGGCAGATGGCAGTTAATCCTTGTGTTTTAGCACAAATTTTCAACCAGAACGAAGAGTGCATCTGATCAGTTATTTTGGGTGGTACCTATAAAATCTCTCTACAAACAACACACACTGCACATAAGAGTACAAGATCAACTCAGCATCTGTTCAGGGGCAATTCATGCTGAGATCGTTATATAAGTGCCACGTTTCTCAGAAACGGTAGGATTAGTTTCAATTACAGATAAATTAATCACGGCTCCGTGGCACTACGAAATTACCGACTCAGATGCTACAGCTCCGTAAAAACAAAATTACGGAGAAGCCAAAGTCAATCACTTTAACCGGTCCTTAAGTCTTATCACATTTTTCTGATTTGAGTTTATCAAAATCAGTCAAGATTAGAACAACAAGTCGGTTTCCCGTCATGATCACTTTTTGTCACTTTACTCTTTTTCGGAACACGCATTAGGCATGTACTCAGGTTACTTGGCATTTTTATGGGGTGCTTGTGGAAAGCGTCAGTGTTTCTGGGGAATCGGTGTAAATGCAATTATTGAAGACGCTTTGCTACTCCACAACGGTATCAGAGTTACGGGGCACTTGATGCTTTGCTCAAGTCCTTGTTATTTTTATCCGTTTAGATTGAACAGGCCTCTAACGGGCAGTATGTAACTGGAAGGAGCGGCGAATTCACATGGAACAGTCTGGGCCAGTTCGCTGACAGTTCAAGTGTTCGCCTGGAGCAGTTGCTGCGTCGTGCTGACAGTGGGGATCACGATGCTGCGAAAACGAATGACGTTCTGTTGCGCCTTGATACAACGATTGTCGGGGACTGTCCCATCGCGCTTCGTCCTGACCCCATAGAAGACGACAGTGTCGTTGCCTGGAGTGCTGGAGCCAAAGTCGAGCTGAATGACTTTAAAGAGCAGATCGTCCAGCTAGATCCGTCTAAAGGTGAGCCTTACTTATCCCTGGTCCACTGGATGTCTTTCAATGTAAAGTCGGTGGAAAGTTGTCAAACAGCGCTCACTGTCATCTGATTGTTTGGGTCTGATTGCAAGTAAACTCTAAGGGACGCAAACAATCGGATGCATTTCTCTAAAGTAGAACATTTTTCGGAATAGCAGGAATGGAGCGACTTTTGTTGATGCGTACTGTGGAACCCAAACGCAAATTCCTTTACAGTTTCACGTAAGCACACATATGTAATCAGTTTTCAGCTGTCATTTTGGCTTTGTGACAGTAAATGTGTTAACACCTCGATATGCAATCGGTTTAAATATTCTTCTTGTGACATCTACTTGTAGATGTATGTAACCCGGAGTGTCGGTGTTCTAGTACGCAATATTTTCACGAATACCTCGTAGTCCGTATTGTTTTGCTTAGCAATGCAAAGGCGTGCACAGCCAGTCACAGCAGGAAGCGGTGTACCAACCACATAAAACGGCATCAGAGGATTCATGAATTAATGACACGCTGTGTCAGCATTGCGTTTGCCAATTGGTAGGTTGTCACGATGCGCGTTTCATAGCGCGATTACAAATTCCCCATCGCCCAACAAAGACGTCGTTGTTTTCTCAATTTTACCAAACTTGTGTTACCGGGCACCATATTAGGCTCTATCTACCTAAGCATTTCACTATAAAATGTGCACATCTACTTGAGCACGTAACCGGTTTCGAATAGATTCTATGCTAAATGCATGTGTGTGTGTGTGTGTGTTGGGAATGTGAAGTTGTTGGCTCTTGCGTTCCCCGGTCTGGAATGACTTTGTGGTTTAAGTAACGGAATTAAGCAAGTCAGTGCATCTGGACAATTGTTCTACCTTTGTTCCGTTCGCTGCTACAAAACTTGTTTTCCAATTGCCAGTTCGGGATAGGAATAAGATATGTGTCATCCCGATATAGACTAATGACTGATTAGCACAATTTTATCCAGGCAAGCTTCACGCCTCCTCCTCACGCACCTACGGCGTCGTTGACTGGGCTAGTGGTCGTCGCCTCCTTGAGCCATACGCCTGGAATTCTGAGGTGGCAACTTCAGCAGGACGCCGACAACAGTTTCTTTCACAGAACCTATTTGTGGATCAGCTAACCGTCTCCAGTGATCCAGCCAGGGGAGTGATTTTCGTATCTGCGGACACTGCAATTGCAAAAGTGAGCGGCGCTGTGTGCCCTGAAGGCTTCGAGATTGTTGAGGCGCGTATGGATGGGAGACGGCAGCTTCTTGGTGGTGCTACCTTGGACTACTGCAGAGGTATGTCTATTTTTAAGTCCTAGTGGTTGTTTGAGCAGGCCTAAAGCCCTTGAACGACCCAGTAGCCAATCGTTGCCTTCAAGTTGAAATCGGCAAATGCACTAACCTGCCTTTTAAACACAGTGCATTCTACTCTGTTATTGACCCATTATTGTCTGCGGAGCGATAGTGGGCTTAGGGAGGATCACTCCAAGCATTGGTGGAGCATTCTACGAAATCCAGTAAAAGCTGTCCCCCCTCTATCGGGGGCATGCAACAGTTACAGAGATTAAAGTCGGGGTCTCGTGAGTAAACTGCAGTGTCTGTATTCGAAAGCATCCCTAGGCCATTTACAGAACAACTATTATCCTCCCAGGACGTTAACTTAATTGGACGATTTGTTATCTTGAAACCCCCCCTAGATGTGAATGAATGTTCGAGTCCACGTTTAAATACTTGTGACCAGATCTGCGAGAACACCGCACCCGGCTATCGATGCAAGTGTCACGAGGGCTACCGCCTCTCACCAGACGGACGGTCATGTCTAGACATTGACGAGTGTTCAGAGGGGGAGAACGCTGGTCGTCTGGTCTGTCCTGTTGGACAGCGATGCGTCAACAAGCCTGGAACATTCAGTTGTGTCCAGGACTGCGGTGAGGGATTCCGACTCGCAGCACATGGCGAAGGCTGTGAAGGTAAGCAGTGAACCTTTAGGTTGGCGTTAATGCCAAAACGAAAGTGCTTGGCATTGTTCAGAAGTGGCCGGTAACCAAAGTACAGGGTCACTGAGGTTCTGAAATCAGCACCTGTGCCTAGTAGATTGTCTGCAATAAGCCGTGTCTATGTGAAGCGAGAAGCAAAGTAGTGTAAGAACAAAATGTTTGTGTCAGTGAGGCATCGAATGTGGAGTTGTTTCAGCAAACACAGCAATGACACGTCGCCTAAACGGCAAGGCATCGTGTTCGTGTTTTCTTACCGGCGATGCACATTTGGCTGCGCTGCACACATCAAGCTCCAATGTAAGGCAGACATAGGTTAGTGAGAATTTATTCGTCAAGGCGAACTTTTGGGTCTATGCTTTTATAACGCATATCACGTGTTTCGACTTCTTGATAGGCTTATTGACTGGCCCTGGGTTCAGACTAGTGTCGAATCATTACTGACTCACAACCATGAAATGTGTTTCGAATTCATTAAACACCCAAGTCGAAGTCGAATGCATGCATTCATCTCTACGCCACCCTAATTTTTAAGACAAACGATAAGTTTCCTTTCACACCGAAGTGGTCTTTAACATTTGCTGCGTGGGAACTTGGTTTCCTTTGTGTTATTTCTACGGTTTTTTGCATTGCTCGAGGGCATCGAAGTTCGAAGTAATGATCAGCAAACCAGTTCACTTGATGGGAAAGTAGGACTGATGTAGTGGTAATTGAATGCACCTGAAAATTATTTCGAGGTTTGTTTTTCAACAGCAAGTGATTTTGTCGTTTGCAGATGCAACCAACCGTCGTAAGTGATGTGTTCATAACAGTTCATGCAATCACTCAACTAGAGGTTAATCGTGCAATTGGACGCCAACTAAATTAACACCGATGTTAGTGTTTGTCTGCACGTGGGTAGATTACATCGCAACCATAATTGATTTCTATATCTCCTCTTAACCCCAATAAATTTCCCTCGGGAATTATCCCCCTTGAAGCATGCTCTCCAATCGCATAGCCCACTTTTACTAATTCTTAACTGTCCCGCTTCTGTGCATTGTGTGTGAAAACAAACAACACAGAAGCAAGACAAAAACCTTGTGCTACGACTAGTACGTTTTCGCGCTTTCACTTAGATATCGACGAGTGTCGATTTGGCAAGAATGTGTGCGGTGATCACCAGTGCATCAACACTTACGGAGGATATGTCTGTGCTTGCCGACCCGGCTATGAGTTAGTCAACAATCAATGCCAAGGTGAATTTGTTTACGCCTTTATGTTCGTGTTTATGACTATAAATCATAGATAAACTACCATGCACGCCAGTTGAAACAAGGCAGTGGGATTGACTGTTTGCGCTAGATGCAGTAACAACAACAATAATAATAATAATAATAATAAGGACAAAGCAGATGGCTTTGCTAGGAGGTACGCTCTCCTGTGCTTGAGGACAGCATTATTCTTCATTCAGAAGCATCGCTGTTGGAGTGATTATGATGAGTCAATAAGTTGACAAGTGTACCTGACGACGTCTGTTTCTGCTGCCGACTGTGATTAGATGCTCGAAATAGGTGCAAGCAACTAGTAACAGCATGCATTCCGGAGTCAAACTGCCATTGATCCGCAAAGTGTAATCCTGTTTCTGTACCCTCATCATAGCCTCCTATCTATGCATTTGTGCTATTTAATATGAGAGGCCAGTAAGTAGATTGGTTTTTTTCACAATCCATGTGTAGTCTACCAGTTTTATAAGCCGTTTAATTAAGAACCTGTTTAACCACGACCAGCCTACTTTGTGATGGAGATAACCAATTAGTTTGTAGACTCCTCAAAAAGTACCAATTGCAAACATCTGTGCAATTAAAATCTTGAACGGCTTGTGGGGGGTTTTCTTGTGGCATTTTGAGGACGATTTTGGATGTATTTCACCCCACCAGATGTCAACGAATGTGAAAAAGGCGAGGCACGTTGTCGTGGCAACGAGGCTTGTGTGAACCTGCCCGGTAGCTATGACTGTCGCAAAGTCTGCCCCAGAGGATTTCGGTTTGCAGGAGAACTGGCCAGCGGAGTTCCCAACTGCATCGATATTGATGAGTGCAGCACGAGCGAGAACCTCTGTCCACCTGAGGCCACCTGCGTCAATGAGCCTGGTTCCTTCCGTTGCCAGTGTCCAGATGGTCGGCCGCCTGTTGGACACTCCTGTCTTGGTAAGCGCATTTTCAAGCACTTACATCGTCATAGAATTTGGAGCTATTTACGATTTGCTGTCTAGCCCATATTTCGTCGCCTGTTTGCGTCTACATGAATATGCTAATACAGATACATGTCATTTTGCACACAAGCATTTGAGCACGCAAATATTTAAATAGTTTCAACACACTTTCGAAAAGTGGGAAATAACCTTGCAAATTATGACGAGTGGCAGCCCCTTTTTAACATGGTTAGTGACAGGACAATGCGGAGCCCCTAACGGAACTTGGGTGTGGGCATCCGATGTCTGAGCTGGCGGTTAGTTTTTCGTCACAAATTACCAGATATCTGGAATAGTGTCCGCGACGATGAAAGTGAAAGTGTGGAAGATAGGGACTACGAATTTGTGTGGACTGTTAACCAAGGCATTGAAAAATTTGGCCCAAAATGTTGTTTCCCAAGATGCATTTGGTGAGATGTTCCCTTGCCATTTCCAACGTGCAATTCAGTTTTGTTTCCATCAGTTCGTGCTTGCTGCTCCCAAGAAAAACGTGCACGATAATTTACCCCGGTTCCAACTTTGCACTTTTCGTTACCCTGTCATTGGGAAAAGTCTCTTTTACCTGGACCTGTTTGAAATTGAAGCCATAAAACAGCATCCCTTTCCTTTCAATAGGTCACCCAAGCACAGCGTGCGACCAAGGATTCACATGGGATTCGGAAACAGAAAAGTGTGTTGGTAAGACTGCTTTAGTTTTTTTTTCAATTTTACACGAAAGTGGAGAAAGATTCCTCCATGAAAATGCCTTTAGAAAGCCTGACACCGATAGATGGAAATGAGATGCACCCATGAATTTATGACATCAAGCAATGACCAAAGTGGGTCGACTATATCTCGGTGACCAAAATCTGACGCGTGTTTGTCAATACTGAGGGGCCAGTCCGATCAAATGGTGCGCAGTTGAGAGCAACGTTTGATTCATGATCCCGATGTGTGTCATTGAACATGTAGGACTTTTCTGAACGCACATTTCATGCGACCAGCTGCTTTTTCTCCTGCATCCGAGAATGAAACAACTGTGCGTGACTGAATAGAGCAATGAGTCTGTTATGAGGCGAGTTTTATGGGAATATTTTGGATCATATCGTTGGTGGATTCGTTCTGATTGATCTGCTTAAAAATTGCGTTTTTAGATGCAAATTACAGTCGTAAATTTCCATTCGGACCGCGGTTATTTCTCCTGAATATCGTTGCCTTTTTATGGCATGCTACATAAAAAAATATGTTCGTTTCGACTTGATTGCTGTGTTCGCTTACCGTAAACTAGTGTTAATCTGCAGTCTTGTCACGATAAGTCGATCCACCCGTGCTAGTGAGCAGAGAAAATACCATTTGTGCATTGAAGACTGGGCAGTAAGATGACGCCAAATGGGTGAGTTAGAGCAAAGCCCGTATTTGGCCGTGTGGTGTTTTGTGGATGAACACGATTCCCCCAACATATGCAGGGGCCAATAGCAGTGCTCTGACATTGGTGGAGGTTTCCTTCAAGCAGCCACGAATAATGCGGCTCATGGCTGGACCCAGTCCACCACCCACCTAAATGCTTCCAGCTCGTGGCCTGCATTTAAATGGAAGATATTAGGGCAAGATGCCCGTTGTGTTGGTCATTTGGGATGGGCACGATGACAGCTCTTTGGAGATTCCAGAGGAATCGGGACAAGAGTCGAGCACGAAGGCACAATTTATACCAGAGGGTATTGTCCTTTTAGATGTAGATGAGTGCAGCCCTTCTTACGGACGCAGTCCATGCCAATATGAGTGTCACAATACCTTTGGGGGATACCGTTGCTCATGTCCTCCTGGCTACGAGCTCAATCCCTTAACGAACCTTTGTAAAGGTATGTACCTCACGCATTTTTCGTCTCTAACTTTCATTTTTTAATTTCCGTGAAGTTTAACGTGAGGCCCCATCAACCATGGCAAAGCTAACAGATGTTTTCGTAAATGGAAAGCGTTAACCTTCTCTAATGGGTCAGTAGCTAGATCATATCACCCAGGCAAAACCAAGGCGCCTCCTTGAGTTCATGTGGCATAGGCAGATTTAAATAGCTTGGTCAAATAAAGCAGAAGTTGCGTAGCAATTGGTACGGATTATTGTTACCTTGTTTTTACACATCCACCAAATCTACTCTGCTTATTAGATTTTGATATGTCATCTTTTCTCAAATTGCAGTCTTAATGTAGCAGATAGCTGTACTTAAGTAGCAATTCAGAGAGACAACGTGCTCATTTCTTGGAATTCTATTTTCTTCATACTACAACCTCGCCATATCGCCACCATCTTATAATCTCATTATTTTAAACGTGCCTTCGAGTACATGCCTTAGAGCACAAGTACTGCAGAACCTTCTATAATTTGCCTAGGCAACCAAAATCGCCACACGTGTACTATGCTCAGTGATAAAACTACCCTCACATGCACTTATTGTAACCGTGTTGTAGACATCAACGAGTGCAAAACATCGCAAAACACCTGCAAACATGGCGACCTGTGCATCAACACACCGGGCAGTCACTTGTGCATCAAACCAAATTGCCCCACCAATTACCACTGGGATGCTAGAACTCAGTAAGTTTAAGCAGTGATGTTGGTCTAACTGTGTTCAACCGTCCATTGTTAACCTTGTTCAATAACTCGCACGGTTAAATTTTACGACGGCCTCTTAATAGCATATTCTGGGAATCGCATTGCAAAACGGGTTTTGTCAATACACCTAATGCATACTAACAGCCAAAGCTTTCATGGAAAGTGGCGAAGTAAACTGCATTTCCTATCAACAACATCATATATGTCATCCAAATACCATCCCCCTAAACAGCGAAACATTTCGGGTGATCCATTAAATAGTCGCCTATAATGGACACACTTGTTATCTGCTAGTATGTTTGATGTTTTGTAGAAGGGCATGGGATCACTGACTACAGCGGGATTTTGCAAAAGCGAAAATTGAAATACAATTTGTGAAGTGTAGAATAATATCTGCTTGTGTAGAATGGGTGGCAGGGTACACAGGTGATGGCTTCCTATGAGACCATCAAGGGGCAGTGTTGTGGTTAAATATAGTAAGTGAACGTGGCAAAAGGAGCTCCTGATCATGCCTGATTGTTGAGGTACTGCTTAGGTACACAATTGCTCAAATTTATTTCGCGATGCTTTCTGTACACAAATAGCCCATTCATTTTCCCGCTGAATCATTGTATTTTTAATAAAATAAGAGCTTGTGACGTTGAACGATGCTGCTGCATTATAGGGCTGGTGAAGGTAAGCACAATAGAATGTTGCATTATTGAAACTGGATTTTATTCCGTTATCGGATTTAGCGGTGATCATGTCGTTTCCAGTGAAATTTGTAATTTTCTACTGCACATCTTCATACGATCGTTGAAATCGAGTTTCCTAATTTTACGGTAATGGAAATGTGCAAAAATCCCATAAACTCATTTTCATTGGTTTGAAAATAGCGTGCACGGCATCTCCTTAGATTTATTAATGATATTGCTTCAATTCAATTAACAAAAACACTCCTGATTTTTGATTTTATATAAACTTTGAGGCTGCATAGGCATGAAATCTCACCGCATTGTGAATGGTTCCTTCAAATGAATGGACACGAATAAGGAAGGTTTTTATTAAATAGTCCATTTTTCATACAATTAACACATTATGTGGAACTTAAACAGATTGTCGATATATTGGTCTGTTTTGAGACTTAATGTTACTGTATTTTGATACTTCAAAGAGAGTCTGTAAAATAAGCGATTAGGGGAACAGTAAATACAAACAAAAATGATCTGAATGGAAAATTTTAAGAGGAAATAATCTGACAGATGCTGATACCTCTGCTGACCTCAGTGAATTCACCCTAGTAAGCCGAAGCATGGGCTTGAACAGGTGACTCAGCACAGCGGAATCAAAAGTTCTGCCGCTCAAAGCCACGAGTGACAGGACCAAACACCCGTATTCGCACCGTGGTCAAACTATGCGTATTAATTGCAAGCCGAGTGGTTAAAATTTTCTCAGTTTGAACTGAGATATCGCACAGGGCACCTCCATATAAACCTAAGCATATACTGGATTAAGGCAGAAATATTCAGTGAGATTAATTGCCGTTTTCGGGGATCGTAGAACTGGCACACGTAGATGCGTTGATGGGCATTATATTTCACAAAACCGAATTCTACCGTTGACTTAATTTTCTTGACACACTCAATTAGCATTCAAAAGGTCTGTGTAAGTTGTACCTACTCAGGCGCCATAGCAATGTTTCCCTTTTGACGTGAACTTTTTATATTTAGGTCCTGTAGAATTCTATGCAGTGAAAGCAGGTTGCCATGTCCACAAGGTGCAAGGTACGCAGACTCTGTTCAGTACATCTCCGTAAGTATCCCAAAGACGAACGGTACTGGTAGCCGAACCGTTATGCTACGCGTGGTCGATTGGAATCAGGTAAGCATGGCTCCGGAGTGTAAGGTGTTGTAGTGGGCCCCGGTGGGGTTTTAGAAACCACACCAGGGCCGACAATCTACGTTGACGCGGCTCGATCGAAAGTAGAGCAGGACTGCAGATAACCAGTAGCTCAACCAATTTATTAAAGCAGTAGCGGAGTGGGTTGTATACAGGATAGCAGATGCGTTTACATAGCTTTGCTAAGCATTGATTTATGAATGCAGCTAGTTGCATGGAGTTCATTCACGAATAATCGAATGAACAGTGTTCGCCTGTGCTTGCACACTGCGTTCGCTCACGATTGATAACTGTGCTCGCCACAGTGTTGTGGGTCCCAGCATGTGGTCTTGAACCACGCCAGGGCCACTGAATTAGCCCTGACCCAATTACGCTTCCCTTATTCCCGGGATGTAGAAAAAGATCAGCGAGGACGTGGACACAACCGTTTACTTCAGAGCCCAACCATGTTGGTGTCGTTGTGTCGTATGTGGGGTTTGCGGGTGTGTATTTATGCCTCAGATGTATGAGTCATAGATGCTCTAACAACGAGACCTAGATGTGAGGATAATCCAAGATAAATATTCGTGCTAATGAGGGGGGAGTTGTGGATTCGCGAGGCTGGCGACATGCTGCGAAAATGGGAACTCTGTGTCGGAGGGTGGAGCGACCGGATTAAGGAGTGTGCATAAACACCATCTACAACAAAGGTCTTTAATAAGTGATATCATGCTCAGGACCAAACCAAAACCATCCTCCAACCGATTCCATATGCTCTAAATAAAACTGGTCAAACATTTTAGCATATTCGAGATGTTTCAGCAGTACACTCGATGACTGCAGTGGCATGCCTTTTCTGTCATGTTTATTTGTAATTCATATGTAATGAACCCTCAAAGAGCACTGCTAAAAAAGGTATGAGCTGTGCGTACGAATTATCGTGTGAACAAATAACACCAGAAACGGGAATCTATTTTCTCTTGGCTAAAAATGGAGATTTTGAGAAACACAAAATCGTGTTCTCAAACGGAGACCTGGGATGAATTACTTCGCATCACCAAACTATCGTTTACTACGTCGGTTATGGTCTCGAGACTACCTATTAACGTTAGCGAAAAATGGCTGACTTAAACTGTCTATAAAGTGAAAATGTATCTGTATGAGAGCTCTAATTATTGTTTACGATATATCTAGCCCAAGTGCACTGATCGAATATCGCATTTCGTTTAAAGGTGCAACAAGGCAATTGTCACTACCAATTATTGGACAAGGCAGAGGGTACCCCAGTAAACCACCGCTCAAGGGACGGTGTTGTCTACCTAACTCCTGATTGGGAATCCCCCGCATTCGCTGATCCAACTTCTAATGTTCTCCATGCCAGTCTCAACCAGTCAGCGCCCGCCTTATACTACCTCTTCTTCAGGGTGTCCTGTTATGAGGGCCCTCCAAAGGGGGTCACTATGGAGCCCCAGGACTTTGACGTCTATCCTGTAGGCCGACAGCTGCATCAGGCTCAACACGGAGACGACTCAAAGCTTATCTTCCAGCATTCATTCTACGTCTACATTTCTGTCTCTCAGTACCCCTTCTAGTCGCATGATACGTAATTGTAACCACAAATCGCCGGTCTGGTTCGTCAGCTATTTCTGCTCGTTTGCACATCAGTCTAACCATGTGTGTGTTTTAACAAAAGTGTCAAAGAAATAAATGCAAAATATGTGGTTTACCTCTTCTTCGGGAGTAATAATATGTGTTGGATGTTATACTGAATATTTCGCATAGACGAAAGGAGTTTTCCTCATAAATTCTTGATATTGCACAATCTATTTCTATGTAGATTTCATGTTTACTCCCATTTGCTAAATCTAACTCTAAACCCTTAACAAGCGTCAGGAAACAAAGTCGAACTCAGGACATTAAATCAAAGTAGATTCGTTTAGCTCATTACACCAATATGCTAGTGTAGATATATTGATGGCTCCTGTATACTAATAAAGGTGAGCAAGTAAGGGACATAACAAAATAGAGAACACCTAATGAATTTAAGTCTAAGTTTCCACGAAGCGACTTAGTCCATTCCTAATTCATGTCTAAGTTTCGTAGAGAAGGCGTTACATTTCTCTTCTGATGTACAAATTGCTTCATTAGGTCTCCTTCCTGGTTGTGTTCAGCTGTACCAATCTGAGTCTCAAGCACTAAAAATGACTCGCCAAATGTCCAAATATTTAGCTTGTAAATGAGATGTTATAGTAAATAAGGTCATTGGTGTTTACTTCAAGCTTTCAGTTAGTTAGCAGCATTTAAGTGAACACGGCATTTGGTATAACTGTAGTATGTAAATAATGGGTACAAAATAACTAATTCGAGACTGTTTCCATCGCTGAACATATTTGTTTAGTGTAACAGAGGAGAGCATCCAGAGACGTCGATAATACAATCAACTGATATTTTGACGATTATGTAAACACTGAAGGGCTATCATGAGTCTTCCAGCGGCCGGCAACTTAATTATTTGTCTGTGGACTTAAAAACCATTATCCAAAGTTCATTAATTTTTGTCCCTAAGGTTACAAGAGAACTGGAAAACAGAAGAATCAACTGGTATACTGGATGATTGAGAGAGCATGTCCCAACACAATCCACTGAGTGTTAGGTAGATCAACGTTCAGTCGACTGTAACACTAATCGGCGTCTAGTGGTATATGAAATTTAAATAAAAAAAAACGTGTTATGAGTAAATGTGTGAGTTTTTCAAGCAATTTGCAGCCATCAAATTTCCATGAAACCTCGTTTCAAATAATTTGCCTCACCTATTTATTCAGATTTCCTCTTCTTTACTTCATCAGTAGGATATTCGATTTTTAATTTAAATCTTTTACTTTCTCACGTCAAGCAGCATTTGTTTATTTCATTTGTAAATGTGAATTTGAATAGTTCTTTCTATTCACCCTGAATGCTTGTATGCATGCAGCACGAAGTAGGTACCTACATTGACGACGATAACTTACCATGTAGTAGTAAAGTACAGCAATTAATTTAGCTGAGGTCTGGCAAATAAAGGCTTGCAACACGAGGATGTCGAATAATCAGTCGTTTGCTAGAAATCAGTTTCATTGAAGGATTGTTCGTTCTAGGCACATAAAGCATAAAAGCTAATTATAAAATGCTCATCATATCTGAACTTATCATGCCATTTGGGTAAATTCATTTTCTGTCTTTTTTAAGGCATCTAAGACGACCTAAATCCAGTCGTATTTATCTTCATCGGGGTACCTACAACTGAATTTTTATCTTTAAACCGTCTGTCAGTTAAGGAGATAATAATTTTGATTTTATCCACAGTTAGGGAACCCTGTATATTTCTAAACATGTTTTCGAATGCAAAAGGAACTTATAAATCAAACCCTAGAACACATGTCAAGTTTTTCAAATTTTGGTTTGCTCCTTAAGGCTGAAAAATTCCAGAATTATACTAGATCACCAGTTGAATCATAAATTTCTGAACCTAAGAGAACATTAGGGAAGATAACCTCGCTATTTTCAATACAACAGATAACTCCCATTGTCAATGAACAGAGTTGAAAAAATTTTAAAAAAATAGATTGTCAATCGCGATATCGAATAGTGGACACCTGGAAAGTTAAATGCTGATAAATTCAGAACCTAGGTATTATTAGCAGTCTTCAAAAAATTGTATCTCATGTGGCACGATTTAAAGTAAGTACCCAAAGAAAAGCTGAAGGCTACTAAAACATATTCTGGCAAGTTGTGATTTTAAAGGACAGAATTTGAAGAAGAATTAATTTGAGCAATTGTGTACCTAAGTAGTACCTCAACAATCAGGCATGATCAGGAGCTCCTTTTGCCACGTTCACTTACTATATTTAACCACAACACTGCCCCTTG